TGTATGGAACCCACAGCACCATTGGCATCGTTACGGCCGTTTATGTGAAACAAAAGAAGTTGATTGACTACATAACATAGATTCTTTCGAAGTAAAATAAATACAAATAAATTGTGTTTCATTGAAATAAGACTAAAGATTAAGGGTTAAAATATTTATTACTTTCCAAAGGAAAAACAAAGGCGAGATGATCTATCGTGTTCTAGAGGTCTATATTTATTGAGTGTTAGAACACAGCCATGATTTTACACTTATTTATTGTAAAATAAATTATTTTACTGTGAACAACAATAATTATTTTTAAAATAATTATTGCTGTTCACAATAATGGAGACTCAATAATAATTTTATAAAGAATTAAAAAACTGAAGGAGAATGAAATAAATGAAAACATTCATGGTTTCACTTTTAGACATTATTTCAAATGTTAATAAAAAATGATTTTTATGTGAATTATCGACCCTGAATCTCTTCTATATTACTTGTATAGAAGAGATTCAGGGTCGATAATTCACATAAAAATCATTTTTTTCTTATATATAATAAACTACTATAAATTCTTATATATAATAAACTATTAACGCTTCAAAGCAAACAAACATCGTTTTAAAATAAAATGGTTAAATAATAATATACGTGAAAATAATTCATAATGTCACATTCAAATATATTGCAGTTTAGATATCTAAAATTATTATTCCGTGTATGTAGTCGTAGTTTTTTTAGTGAATATATACTTCAGTGTTAGTTTGCCTTAATTTATATAAGGTATCCCTGTCAAAAACACGATGCCACAAACACTATTAAAAAAATCTCTAACGTCAGTGACACATTATTTTCTTGTTGTTAATATTTTCACATTTAGTTTCTCAATAACCACAAGTTCTTTTACAATATACGTATTTCAGATAATACTCAAGGCAGTTTATACAAGTTTGACACAGCTTAAAAATTAAAAAGAATCGTGTTCAAAGTAAAGAGGCACCAGAAGAAATAGTTAAATATTTGTCATTTAATGAAACCGGTGTTAATTAACAGTTTTTAACCTTTTGAATAATCACACCTAGAATATAAAGAAATATAGAGAGAATAAGTCATAGTTAATTAAGAAAAAACGGATAAACAAAATCTTTGATGATTGAATCTTGAAGGGAATTTATAAGTATTTTTTTAACTGTTTTAGAAGCCACGGACAATTTCCTAACATGTACCTACATATAAGTTTATCAAAGGTACTCCCAAACTATTCTAATATAACATGAAAATATCCTTAATTACTACAAACCTAAAAAAAGGTTTCCATTAAACTAGAACAAATAGTATGTAGTAAAAAGTGATTTCAGCGTAAATAAATACTTGTTGTTATTTTTAACGGTTCTGAGTAAGAGGTAGTCTGAAAGCAATGTACGTGATCACAGTTTTGGTATAAATATATTTATTTAAATTTTATACCCTATAATAAATCATAATTGTTTAGATTGAAGTTTGTTAGAATTAGCATATCCACGCGTAAGCAGCGGTAATTAATCAAGTAGCAGCGGTTTGTGATTAGTGGTCGGTTCATATTTTATTTGCTTGTTTCAATTTTGACACTTTATTTGCCTTAATGATTAATTAAATAGATTATATGATCATCATTAGCCTGTGTTTTTATTATAAATCTAAAACTTTTTGTCAATACGATTATGTAATGGTAACCAATGGTGACTTCGTTATTTCGAATGTATATGAATGTGAATAATGTATCTAATAATAATAAAAATAATAATAACATTTAACATACGGCCGTCTGATCCTAAACTAGGCAGAGCCTGTGCTATGGTGACCAGACAGCTGATAAACATACTTATATATTTTTAAATACAAACATATTATAGATAAATTACACCCAGACACAGAACAAATGATCATGCTCATCACACAATATTTGTCCTGGGTGGGAATCGAACCCACGACCTTTGGCTTAGCAGTCAGGGGCACTAACCACTCGACCAACAGGCCCGTCAATATGAATGAATATGAATATGTATATTAATGTATATGAATGTGGTTGGTACGTGTTCGACGAGAATCTGTTTTTTTTACAGATTAGTGTATAAACAAGTAAACCTTTGACCATTATCTGAAAGTAGCTATAATTAATAGCCTTAACGAAATGTGAACGATATAACAAACAACTACCTATCCACGAACCATCTGCTCTATCCACGAATATTTTCTGTACGTAATCAAATCTGGGCAATTATTTAAATATAGGCGAATAGCTACAGCCGCTGTTTATAAGCACAAAGATTAGGTTGGGGGGGTAAAAGGAAATAATTTATAGGTAATTAGCCGCTGTCTGATGGCAGATTAAAACATTTTGTTCCTTTTCAGCAAAGGATGTCGAGTGGGTGTACCAAAACAAGGGAATATTTTTCATTGCCAGCCTTTAATTATATAAATTTTAGAAGATTACAAGGCTTTTGGCCTAGATGATATTTAACTGTATTTATATAAATATCGTCTTTATTTTTTGGCTAAGCATAAAAATTTCAAAGCTTTTGTTGCTATTTGCAAAAAATTAATACATGGTACTTAGTACATACATGTATAAATTTACTGAGCAGTCTTTTTCATGGCTTAGGGGAGAAACGAATAGATGGGTCAGTTGATTGTAAGTAACTACCGCCGCCCGTGTGATAAGTAACACCTGCCACACAATTTGATACACAATCGCTCCTAGAAGCCTGTGAACGCCCCAGGAGGCTTCTGTGCATCTGGAAGGAGCTTGGTTACCTCACCTAGCCAACCTTTCCCCGACGCATAAAGGGCTATTCTTGAGTCTAAATACGGAAACCGGAGCCCACAACCAACATATCAATACCTGCCAGTCAAGGGGCACCGGTACGTTGTGGCCCTTTGAGTCCCACCCCCCCAGATTTACAGTTAGGGAGCGAGGATTTGGCGCTCCGGTAATCTCACCCACTCAGTGAAAAGTAACGGAAAAATTGCTCAACACCGGTTTTCTATGCCGTGGTATCGCTCATGTTGGGTCGGCGCACATATGCTGGCATGGCTCTCCCACGGTAACCCAGTCCTTACATACCTCTACAAATAAAGTTATACATAAATTAATATCAAAGTATTGCGACATTCTATTGTAATTTATTTTCAACTGACATAAAATTCACCTCTTTTCATTTTGTTTATAGTTATAAATATATGATAAATTGACATTCTTAATCTCTGAATATGAACAATGTTGTAATTAGATTCCTAAAGTATGTAATTTATAAAAATGTTAAGTATTGCATGCCGAGAGCTATGGCACATTATTATATCACAATAATCATTGTACCTATCAATTTTCGCAAATAAAGTAATTTGAATTTGAATTTTATGTATAACTTGGACGTCGCCAAAATAAAGAGTTCTTCCCAAGGTGGTGCTATTGCGGGCAGGCGCTAGGATTGATTTAGATGTGTTAATAACAGCTATTCCAGGATCCCGTCTATTTAAAAAAGTTACATTGATACTCGTCTATATATATTAAAAATGCAACAATTATTGTTGCTATCTTTCCTTGCGGGGGAGACTCTGACATTAGGGCCAAAACATTTGTGTGCTACCCTTCTCGTAATAGTATTTTTTAAAGAAGAGGTTTTTTTTTGATACCTAGCATGAGTTTCAACGTTACAAAAAATACACACTTAAAGTTACACTTTTCTTATACAACTAAGGTTGCAACGATGCACCTAATAGCGTGAACTACGCTTATATAAACATTGACTTTCATTGGTTTAGTTTTTTTAGAAAAAAGAGTTATATCAGTAACAATTCTGTATCCTGAGTTTTAACTTTAATTATAAACTTTTAATAAAACATAAGGTTGTTGCGGAACTAACTTCTTAAAAAAACGTATATCATATGCTTTAATAGGAGTAAATACAAGGATAGTTTATTGTTATTCTTGACTATAAACTGCAGTATTATCATCTAAGAGGTATTTTCCTCCGCGTTTATTAGTAATTCAATTATTTCGTCTCTAGACTATGTCACACTCCGTGTCACCGTTGTGACGTCGCGTCGGTTCAAGTTGGTTAAGTAGGTGTTTAGATTTCGTTGTACTCATATGTAATTGTTTACGTATTTAAGTGTTTTGGTAAAAGTCCGACGAATTTGAGTAGAACAAAAAACTTTCAATTTTGTGTCGGATTTTTGTTCTTTATTTGATGTTCGATTAAATTATATAGAATTTATCGTAAAGGTGCAAAAATTATCAAGAAATACATAAGTTAAAAATATACCCATTGCAAAATAATATAATTCACATTACGACTTTAATAACTTATTCTGTGAAATATAAAAACCCAACACATATCTATTTAATTGCATATTAAGATGCAAACGGTAAGTCTATGTTCTCCACACTCAGCGTACCGTGGTTACTCTTCATAGCAACCACTTTGTAATTTTATATGATTTGTTGCGTATCAAGTGTTAATTATATATTTTATATCCAAAAGTGAAGGTTGTTAAATAACTTTTTCATTCAAACCGACGTATACTGTCATATTCTCTTACCAGCAAGGTCATCATCAGCATCAGATCCGTAAACAAAAACCGGATTATATACGTCACAATCAAATCCAAGTAAGTGAGTGTATTTATCGGCACATTAAATTATAATAAAACAATGCAATCTTCCATTACGTTTGTATTATTTCCTGCTTTACTCGCAAAAAGAACACTGTAAAACTAGACGCGTTATAAACAATGTACACACCACCACGACGAGACAATTACCGGCAAAACATAAAAACACATAAAAAAACAAAACTCTATTCTTTGCAGCCAAGGTTATGTATTTAGCAACACATTCCATATATGTAATCGGTACGCGTAAAAACTTACTCGAAAAACTTCACGACAAAAAGGTATAAGTCAAACGTTGGCATCTATCGAACGATGCCGTGCACTGAGCGTGCTATTTGGCGGTGTTAATTGCTAATCGGACGTTATCGGGAAATGTAGGTAGGTGACATTTCGTAGGCATGTGCCTGCAACGGAGGGCGCGCCGCGGCAGCAGCGCGCTCACTCGCGGTTAGGAGAGGACTGTGGTGCGTGGCGTGCGGCCCGCTCACCCGCTCGGCGTTAGCAGAGCGAGCAGCGGACGCTCGCTGCCCACCCGAGCGGAGCCCGAGACGATTGTCTCCTCGCATCGCTGCTGGTGAGGGCGCTCACCGACCTGGATCATCCCTCGGGCGTTTTTAACGTGTACAACTTCTGTTACTAGTACTTTTATTATAACAATGTAAATGTCAGCGCCCTTGACAACCTTGACTATATTACAGCACGTGTGCCTCGTTCATTGAAACCGTGCATTTATTTGTTAATGAGTAATACATAATTAAAATATTTACTATTATATTTTAATTGTGGTATTCGATAAAGCAAATGGTTATGTATAACGTATTGAGTAACTATCATAGTACAATTAAAAAATATGTTGACTATGCTATGCTTATAAACATAGCAATAATATACTTTTATACTGTTAATGCATGTTTCGGAAATACGTGAAGAATGTTATCATCTAATTCTAGTGAAAGGTCGTTTCATATAAAACTTACATAACAAAAAAGGTTTTGATTGGTTACTACATATACATATATACGGTGTAGCTAAGTTTGGTCTTTAGGTCCTCCCCTTTTTTATTTTTTCCCTACTTGGTGCTGGATTATTAACAATTACGAGTACATAGTGCATAGAAAAATGATAGTGTCTACATGGTTCGACCACTAACGTTTTCAGAAGAAAAGACGTTAAAAAATCACCAAAGGAAACTTTCTACTGAATTTACACTGGTCCACTGTGTATGCATCAATTGACTTGTAATTTTATGAGAATTCTAACGAGAACTTAATTCAAATTGTCAATTAATAGCTTGATTAATGTTACAATTAGATCAATAAACTAAAACATAACATTCACAATTTAATGAATTATCGGCAAACTTCGACCACAAGGCGATCTCCAGACGTCCTTTGTGTTAGTTTAATATTCTACTGTTAGATTTATTCGTTATGACGATTTCCTTTATAGATTCGTAATGTAAATTTAAAATATACTTTATTCTATTATCTTCTTCTGTGCCTTATTCACGATTGTTACAAAAATTCCAATAAAATACTTTGAGCTACATGGAATTAAATATAACCGTCCCATAAATATCAAAGCAAGTTGCATTATTGATAAAGTACTCGAAACTTAGTGAAGCAAAATTGTACACAACTGCAAGGGGTATAGTAATAATAATAAAATAATAACTTGACACATCTCACTCACGGCCATTTAATCCCATACTAGGCAGTACATTTACTATGATAATCAGACTACTGATAAAGGTACTCATATATGTTTCGTTTTATTTTGTTTTAATTTTAGGTAAATCGTTTTACTAGTAAGCCTCGGTAAATTTTCCAGACGTATCCAAATAAACATCGGAATAGACAATAACTTATTGCGTGGAGCAATTTCATATCTGTCAGCCGGCAATTTATGCATATTTCCATAAAGATAAATTAAATATTCATAACGTGAGTAGGTAGTTTCTGTAAACTAGTTTAAATCCAACTATACCCTTTTGCGGAATATTATAAATAAGATAATATTGTCTAATAACTCATAATTATCTAGCTTTGGAGAGACAAAGTAGAGTTTATTTGTGTATTCACCTCACAATGTTTTTTATAGTAAACCTTTAGGTAAATTAAGCCGTAGTCGAATACAGTATTACCTACTTCAACAACACTGGTTATTTCATCGGATTTTTCACCAGTGTGAAATAACTTGTGAAGATAGATAAAACAAAAGGACTTAATGCATTTTCATTTTCAGTATATCTAAGGATGCTGTAAAAAAACAAAAGACATGTGAGCTTTCGCCTTTAATAAAAAGCGATTTAGGTCTAACCTGAAATGAAATTAATGAATGAATGAAAACAAACTTTTGCAGTATTTTTTTTAAAGACAACTCACTAGGAATATATTCTGTGTCGCGGGGACTTTACAAACATACATGAAATGGACACAAAAAACACCCAAGAAAATAAATACGTGACTCTTAACTAAGCAGTCAATGGCGCAAGTGCAGAGCCACAGAGGTTCGATTCGATTGCTTTGCTAATAAGAAGGCTGTTCTTCAAACATGCAAGGCATTTGTAAATTCTTAAGCCTGAGAGCGTTAATCGTGCCATGCAAGATTAGTAATTATTTTTCTTCCCACATAAATTTATTTATAATATGACAACAAATATGAGTGAATACAGACCTGTATTCACTCACATTTGTTTAAGCAACAAGGTTTAAGGTTTAAGGTACAATAGTACATACTTTGTTTAGTTTCCAATCAGAAGCCCGTACGTGCGAAGTGTTTAGATATTATTATATTTCCAAGAATCTTTAAGCTTAACTATAACATATACTTACTTCTGGTGTGCTTTCTCTGATTCTGTTGATTCTGATCATATGAAACTGTCATCAGAATCAACAGAGAGATAATCTAAAGATAAGAGAGATAATCATAGATAATCTTATCTACTCTTTTTAAAGGTATTTGATTTATTCGTGCCCATCTCAATCCACAAATGAACAACCACAAGAATTGAAATTCTGAGATTTGTATGTTTAAAGACTGGATGGACCTCAGGCTATTTTTAAGAGATATTTCTGCGAAGTAATCCATTATATAATGTAATCAATACAAATCTTACAGAGTCACTTTCACTAACAATAACTGACACAGTAATAAATTCAAAATCATATAAATCGAACAAAAACAGCAAATAACTAACTGTTAACAGAAGTGATAGAAGGTTGGAGGGGTCTGTCAGATGTACAAGTTTCATTTGAAATCTAATAAATAAATAACGAATCAAATCCAAAATTTTCATTCATGAACTGCCTGGAGTTGGCATAATATTGAGTGCGAGTGTAACAATATTAGATTCATAGGATAAAACTTATTATATATAACTTATAAAAATTTCAGTGTTAACATATGACATTACTTCATTTAGGAGATTTTGGAATGGTATCATGTTTGTAATCTTATATATAAAATTCTCGTGTCACAATGTTCGTTCCCGTACTCCTCCGAAACGGCTCGACCGATTCTCATGAAATTTTGTGTGCACATCGGGTAGGTCTGAGAATCGGCCAACATTTTTTTTTCATACCCCTAAATGGTAAGGGTGACCCATCCCTAATTTTTTTTTGTTTTGCAATACAACGTTTGCCGGGTCAGCTAGTAATTTATAAAATATTTTCCGATGATTCAAAAGTGAAAAAATGGGAGGCACTGGTGTAAATCCAATGGTATAATTAATCTATATGGAGCTCGTAATGTAAGATAATGAACAGCTTAATGAACCCTATTAATAGTTGTAAATCGACGATTAAAAACTATGGCTCGTCCAAACCTCTCTGACGATTACAATTTATCTACAACGGTCCTTCCAGCCGGCCCTGGATAAAGCCCTTTGAATACTTTAAATTTCTGCGCAAACCTTTCAATGCTGGATAAAAGTGATATAGGGTAGTAGTTTCGTGAGTTGGGCTTACTCTTCGTTAGAAGTCTGGAACTTTTGCGAGGTAAACTGTAGTTCGCAATCCGATAATGTGGAATAGAAAACTTTATATGTTGCTTCTTTTATATATTGTTGAAGATAAAACGGTGATTTAAGTTGTATTATTTCTTTTTTAATTCTAAACAAGGTTTTTTTATTTCATCACAATTAATCTCGATATCAATCTGTAAACACCTATGTTGTATACTTTGGGCGGGGTTGGGTGTGCTCCAATAGGCCAAGATCGCCTGGAGCAGATCCAATCCTGGTACGCCCTCCTGTCCGGAGGGCGTGCACGGCGAATGGTCATGGGGGAGAGCGCAACAGTCGTGTAGATCCCCATGGCAAGTCTGGGTGTCATCCTTCCCGTGGTTGCCGCCTGTTTTAGGTCTGATTCCCTACGAAACAGATATAACAGAAACACCCAGACGCAATTCCATCCCACAAAACCTATCCTTTCCCATTTCCTATCCCATCCACACCTACTGCGGACACTAAGTGGTTGGTGCCTGCGGCCTCACTATCAACAAAGACTGAGAGTGAGGGGGAGGGGGGGCAACCACCCGCATGTTTGTGCCGTGTGCGGGGACCCGTAAGGGAGGATGAAGGGATCCTGGTAGTTGAGCTGAAAGGCAACACACTGCTTCGGCCTGGATTTCTCTTTACACGGGAGGCTGAAGGCTAGCCACCTTTGGTCAATCGGCTGTAGTATCCCGTCAGAGGGCTGCTGGGCGAGAGCTCTTCCTTGGTGGGGGTGGACGACGGGTGGGACGACCAAGTCTTCCTACCTAGTTCGGCCTGCCTTCTGCCAGGGAGGGAGCTCTATATTTCCTTGTTACTTCTGGCGTCGTGTGCCTTCTGCCGCGGCGTCCCCACTTGAGGGCTCCAAGGAGGGTGGAAGGACAAGGAGATGAATAGTATACCAAACACATCATGGATACTAAAAACACACGTACAAAAAAAACCACCAAGCCGGCACCGAGGGTGAACAACCCAAGTGCCAGGCTAAACCACCAACCGGCTGACCCCAGGGTGAACAACCCAAGGGTGAATCCGGCAAACACACCTTCGGCTGCTGCTCAGGCAAACAACCCGACCGCAGCGCCATCCACGACTCTGGCGACACCTCTGGTGTCTAACCAGAATACGGAGCCAGTGTCGACCATCGACCTCTCCTCTTTGAGGGCAGCAATGCCCGTACCTGCGGGACCCGGCCTGGAAGAAACCGGCTGGAGCCTGGTAAGGACAAAGAAGAGAGCGTCGAAAAAACCGAACCCGTCCAAGAAGACCCGTAACGCCAACAGGGCGAAAGCCCGAGTGGAAAGGCAAGCACGGTGTCTGACCTCGGGTGGAAGTAAGCGGCTTGAAGTCGCTGAAGGGCCCGAAGGGGCCCACGTTGCCCCCGCCAGTGATGTGCTGCCCCGAGGCGAAGACGAAAGTCAAGCCACGGGGAAGTGTACTCCTGTGGGGGCGCCACCTGCCAAGACGCCTGTAGCGGCCAAAGTACCCTCTAGGCAGGGTCAACCTGGACAGGGTAAACGGGCAAGACGAGCGACACGTGGAGGGAAACCTTCGAGTGAAACAAAGCCCGTC